GAAGCCAAAAGCAGCATCAATAAGGTCCAGTGTGCGAGCTGTGACCGTTACAGTGAACCTTTGGTCGAGGATCTCACTGTACAGCTCTCTGTTAAACAGCTGCGGCTTCCAGGTTTTGCGCAGTCTTGTAGAAAGCTGGTGTGACAAGTACATATTACGTACTATAGGATAAGTCGTCTTCAAGAAACATTCTCATTTATCCACTAGTATTCACATAAAAGAACCCAAATCATCAATATTCAGTATTACTGTAGTTCTCTCTTCGGTCTTACCTTGTCATCTTTAGCATATCTAAAGCCAGATATCCAGCCTTCTCCACCCCAGAGTCCACTCTGTGATTCTGGCGGATGATAGACGGGGATAGGCACATCCTGCACTTGCTCTCTGTGTCCAGATTTAGGACTGAGTCTGTATTTGACACCCAGAGGTTTCCAGTGCACAGGTGAAGGAGGGGCGTTGTCCTGCAGAGAGCGCAGGTAGTGCTGGGGTAAACGGGCGTAGATGCCCTTCTGCAGCTTCAGGGCTTCCCAGATTTTTGGTGGATACTTGTGTAGAGGCATTTTATTGGACAAAACCTTAGAAAGAAGGGTATATAGTACACAAACATAAAATAATTATAGTAATAATTCTTTAATAATAATACTAATAATACATAGTAATATAAAATAGGGTGCAGGGTAAGAGGTTAATAGTAATATAGAATAGTAATATATACAAATAATGTACACATATAACATACATACGCTATATATAAACACATGTAGTAGAGTAAAACTGTAAACTAGCTGATAAGCTACAGCTAAAAATTCAAATATACGCTTTATAATATAAAAATATAAAAATGCAAAGTTAATAACGATAAGAAAAAGGCTTGTATACAGATCAGCATTCTTACCGGGGAATGACGCGAACAGAGGATGTTTCATTTAATTTTACATGATCAGTGTTAGCCTGCTAGCCTCTCAGTCAGCACACGCTGTAAAGCTAACCAAGGGCACCACACGTCATTTCCTGTGACAGACACCAGTGTTTACTGCGCTGATTGGTTGTTTGCACGGCCGAGCTTCCGGGGGTTTAACAGTAGTATTGTTCTCGTGGAGGTCTAAAATAGTTCAGATTTCAACACTAATTTGTTAAAAGGTCACTTTGCATTACCAGCCTATTTCTCATGCGCCCGAAAGGTGGAATTGAACCACTCTGCCGCTAGGCAGCTACAGGTTTGAAGCCTGCACCCCGGACCACCGAGGTTCAT